AAGTTTCAAGCTTATAGCAGCATGTTTAAACAGACAGTACCCTTTCTGTGATGATAAGACTTTTGTGTATGCAAGGTAAGGATGAGCAAAGTCCTGTCCTTCAGATCTTGTTGCGCTGCAATTTCCACCATACCTAGAAGCATAGCCAAGGATAAGTAATGGTGAAAGCTTGAATCTAACAACACCAGATGGCTGCACTTTGCCTACAGATTTAAACCAGGACACTGTCCTTCTGGTTTAGATTGGGGCATCTTCTACTTTAGAGTGGAAGAAGGCTTTAAGGAGCAAACTTGATGAACTAAGTAGCAGGTGAAACTCTCTCTCCTTCCTCCCAACACTACTGCCTACCTCTTTGATAGCATTCTAGCCCATTTGCTATTGCTCTTGGATTCAAAAACTATCCTCTCCAGCTATATCCAGACACAGAGTTGCAAAGCTTGAATTAACAAACATCTTCTGAAGCTGTGTCCTTCATCTCTTTTGTTCTGTTTTTCTCTCCTTCATGAAAAAAAGAGCTGGTAGTGCTTTTTAGTGCTCACATTAGCAGATTCGAAATGTAGAAAACTCAAGCAATAACAAAATTCCAGGTGACTCACTGCATACTCACTGGATTTATGCACCAGGTAAATGAGAGAAAAACTTTGATAGCAAATAGTATTAGAACAAGCTTCTTTCTGCAGCAAGTCAACCCCTTAGCAAGCAAATATTATAGGTAAGTATCTTAGCAAATTGTAAATAAAGGGTGAGCTAAAACTGCATAGCCACTTTTAAAGCCTTGATTCTCCATGTCAGCAAATTCCTGATAGACAAGCAGGGTATAGTCATTGCTAAATCCTAACATCTAGCACATCCACGGAAATTAATGACATTTTAAGTGCAAATTTGCTACAGGGAATTATTTATAGGGCATTTGTGAATTGCAAACTTTGTATATAATGAATCACAGAAGCATAAGCCAAGCGGTCTGGTGCATTTCAAGTTAAAAAGCTTAGAATACCATCTGCAGGATATTATGATGCAGGGATGTGCAAAACAGGTTAACAGGATCCCTTCTTATTTGGAATAGGTATACAATTAATTTGCAGTATCCACCATGCCAAGCAACCAATTAGAAAATACATGACTAAATCAAACTTGTAACTAGATGCTAAAACAGCATTTTCTACTTCCTCCTCCCCTTCAGAAGTCTTGCTGCTCAAAAACTCGCTCTGAAGGGATTTCCAGTTCTTTATATCTAATTTTGGGGTTCACAGGGGGCTGTGTGTTAGAGTTTTGTTTGCAACCTCAAATGCTGCCTGTAGTTTGACTAGGAGGGATTTTTCTGGGCTGGGGTGATTATCTAGCACTAAGAAATCGTTCCTTCCAGTCTTTGAATTCAGAGAGCTCCATCTCTTTGCTTAATTTTCTTTTCCTCTCTTTCCTGGATTGGTGGCAGTTGTTTGTTTGCTATTGATTTTATTGTTCGGTTTTATGTGTGCAGTAAAGAAAGCAGCATACACAAGTCTGTAATTTCAAGCAACTGTAAGTAAAGAGGTTTTTTAATTCTTTCTCCTACAAATTTCTCAGAGTGAGTTATTGAGACTTCAAGTGCCAGTTAATGGGAAATTATTTTGGAGAACGTATTATTCTCCTCTATGGACCTCTGTACTGCTACTGCATAGCAAAAATGTAATATTTTACAAGAAATTTAAAATTCTGCAACACTACGTCTGGGAGATGAGGCTGTAATGTAATTAACTATGCTATGATATGTTCTTGCCATGTTCTGAATGTGCTGGTTTGCAGCTCTGTGTTCTCCTGCTTATCGAACTAGGTCATTCTTTCAACAGAACAAACTGTTCCATGCAGGAGTTGGCAGTGTTTTAAACAAAAGATTGCCCCTTCCATTTCTGACTGCATTCTGCCAGAGACTCGATGTCTCTAGTGCCAAGATACAAAGGTCAAGTCAAGCAATGGGTATATCTTCCACTGTGCTGTCATGGGAAGCGAAGGAGAAAGACCTCAATAGTTTTCAGATCAGTTATCAAGGCAAAAGAAGTCAAATACCACTGGTGAACTTTAAAGCACTTGCAAATTTGCAGAAGTTCAGCAAGCTGTAGGCAATCTGCCCGTTGTATCACCTTTATTGGCTCCTGTCTGGGGTTGGGATGTGTGTGGGGTAAAGTAAAAGGACCTAATGATTTGGGTTGGGGGAAGAATGGCTCTTTTCTCCAAGAAGCAGCAATCTGCTAACTTCACGTATTAATTTTGTGAATATTTCTCCAAGGGGTTTGCAGCACCTTTAGGACTAATAGTTTTTATTTTTTAAGCTTTCATGGGTCTAAGCACACTTCTTCAAATGAAAATGAAAACAGTAGTGCACCAGTGTAAGTCGAAGTTCAGTAAATGGTACCGAGTCTACAGTAGTCATGTGGAGGCCAGGACAGATATCTGAACATGTGTTTACAATACCAGAGAAGAATCAAGGGAACAATACAATACAGAATAAAACAATGATATGTGAACTCTCTTTTCTTAGCTGCCAGATGTTGTAGGTCATCTCTATAAGGCTTTGATCCTTTTAAAAGTGATGTGAATTTCTTAGCTTATTGTGACCAAGCATTCTGAGTTTACCTGCCAAGCTTACTTTAAGGAATCAAAACCAAACCAATACAAAATCCTATTTATTTAAGAGCTGTACATCACACAAGGTTTTCCAAAATGTTCTGAAATATTTAGCATTTTAGACAAAAAGTACATTGATTCGTGACTTGTGAATGGGTAGGATGGGGCAGAGTGCTTTGTGGATCCAAGAGTAAACTTTGAAATACATTATAAAGCCAAGCTGTTGAACAAAAACAAACCTCATTTTATCTACATTTTGAGATTAGCATTGAAAAAGTGTTATACAGTATTAAATGGCTGTTTAGATCGAGAGTTGAATCTTGCCTAGATATATCCACCATGGCTGCATCACTGTGTCTGGACAGCAGCACCTTGTTTCAGAGTACTGGAATGTTTGATGGGACATTCTTTAATCAGGATAATGAGGGAAGAAGCAGTGTGTTCAGCAACACAGGAAATATATTCTCAGCAAGAGTGCCACAGCTAAATTATATAAATTAACAATAAATTAGCAGTGAACAACTTCAAAAAGTAGATAGTGACAAATAAATGAGAAAACACTTGAAAAAAACTGGTTCTAACGCATGGAGCTGGCATCTAATGGCTTACAGTAAGGACACAATCCATCTCTCAGTAGAAATGCTAGTTGACTCCGTGCAGAGCAAACTTACCATTTTTGTTATCTTGAACTATATAGCAATCATAGCACACTAAGCACAAGCAAAGAAGTAAGTTCATTTATTTAAATTTTAATTAATGTGCTGTATTTGTTTATTATATCTACACCTTACCCATCCTCTTTTGAGCTCAAAGTTGCTTACATGACTGTTCCCTACTCTAACCTCAAAACAATACTGTGAGTTAGGTTAGTGAGTGTGATCAGCCCAAGGTCACTCAATGAATTTCATGGTCAAGTGGGGACTGGAGTCCTGGTCTCCTGAGTGCAATTTTCCAAGCACTACACTACATTTTTCAAATTTCTAAAGCAGCTTCCACAAAAAACACAAAAGAAAGCAATTCACATCAAAACATTGTGAAAGCTTATACCATTATTCCATATCACTCTCACAAAAACAAAGCAATACTACTGCTACTGCTACTGCTACTGCTACTGCTACTGCTACTGCTAGTAGTAGTAGTAGTAGTAGTAGTAGTAGTAGTAGTAGTAGTAGTAGTAGTAGTAGTAGTAGTAATAATAATAATAATAATAATCCTCTAAGTGAAACGGAGCAGACAATAAACTGCAATCCAAGGCATGCTGACTCAGAAATAAGTTCCCCTCATAATGCTGCTAGCTGTCATGTAACTGTGTACCAGAATGCAAGCTCAATTATAAACACCGTCTGAAATACAAATAGGACTTTCCTTACAAAAATGGGGAGTGGTGATTTAAAAAAAAAGACTGTCAAACCTCATAAGGAAAGTAATTCCACCACTGGAGAGGCTCTTCTGATCTGCCCTCATGCCAGTCTAGCCAACAAAGAAAAAGAAGTGCAGACGAGTTAGTTTTATGCAAAGCGGAAAGGGGAAACAGTTGGAATCTAGAATCACCAATTATATTCCACTCCCAAAGTAAAAGGAGCTGTCGCCCAGAAAGAGAACGAGAGAAAACACAGAATTGTCTAAAAGACAAATCATATGCTATTTTATATCTGTTAATGCAATTTAGAAATAAACAGGGGAGTTTAATTTAAATAGAAATAAACAATAGCACTGTAGAGACAGCCATCAGAAGATGATTGGTACACTTACTCACCGCTTATGCTAACAATTGGCAACAAATTTTAAGCACCCTATTTCATCTTGTTGCTATTATTATTATTATTGAATAAGGTTGAACTAGACAGGATGGACTTCAGTCAGAAGTCCTCTATTTCTAGTCTGTAGGGGAGGACAAGTTAGTGCCTTTGGTGATTCCTCATACTTCTTTAGGTGTTGTTGACAGAGATCAGACTGATAACGGCAGAGGCAGCAGCCAAACGTTTGAAATCAAAGGAAGTTTTAGCTTAAAACAGAGAGGGAAATAGTTAGGAACCTCAATTTTCTTGCATTTTGAAATAAAGCTGTTGCAAAATACATGTAACAAACACTCCCTGCGCATCATAAATTTTGACACATTGGTTGAAATTCTGTTACACTGCTATGCTAAAGGTGTAACTTTTTTTCCAGTTTAGCAAACTGCCTCAAGTTAAAAAAATTCACTGACACTGTCGCTTAATCTAGCATTCAACAGAAAACATCTATGGAGATTTCTTAACTTGAGGCTGTTCTCTTCCAAAAGTTACACCTTTTGTGAAGCAGTGCAAAAGTATTTCAGTCACTGTAATATTAAAATGTAGCATATATGATGATTTTAACAGAATGTGTGATATTATATATATCTGAAAAACCCATACCTCTAAAACTTCAGTGTTTACTTCAATATATCACTTCCCATTTCTTCTCTTTTCTTTTAGGCATATGATCTCTCTTGTCCTGACAGCCTGCCGGCCAGCATCAACACTGGAATTATTAAGAAATCACATTATTTTCTAGAGGTTCGCTGCAAGGCAGTCAAAAGAAAGCACCAGCATCTTAATTTTCATTTACAATGGAAATCAAGCATCAAAACAAACAAAATACTGTATTTGAAACCTGGCATATTACTGATGCTGCTACTATTAAATTGTATGTTCATTGACTTTCTGCCCATCAGAGCTCCTAGGGTGATTTAAAATAAATTGATTTAAAAAGGAAAAAAAAAAGGATTAACTAACCCTAACAAATTAAAAAAATATATCCCAAGTCAGATTTAACACATTTTAAAACAGAATTTACATCTTCTCCAAAAAAAAAAAAAAAAAAAAAAAAAAAAAAAAGTAAGGCAGATTGTTAATATGGATGTAAAGAGCAAATACCCTTTAGAACAGTAAAATGTTAGCTGCCTGTCAGAAGTTCAGCCAAGAAGATGCCAGGTTCACTTCCTTCACCCGTTATACATGGAGTTTTATAATCAGGATGCGACGGTACTAGCTGTTCTCTTTTCTTGTCTGCAGTGTCTGGTAGTCAGACAGCCTGCCACTAACTGCTAGAGCTTTATTTCATGACTATAAATGTTTTTACATTCATTTGGGAGCATTTGAGAGAGAGAAAACACAAAGAAAAGTTAGCTGAATAAGTAGCAATTAATTACACAAATACTAAGCAGCAGCCTAAGTTCTTTCTTGCAAAGATTCAGCCAGGAAATTGTTAAGAACCAGCTAGCTAGGAAACTGTTTAGAGAAGCTATTGGTCAACCACTGAAATGATACATTATAACCCACAGCTATATACTGTATAAATGTACAGCGTTATTCTCCACTACATGCCTCATTGTCTCTTTCAAAGTGGCAGCTTAATTGTGTCTCCTCAGAAATGATAAAGTATTAAACCAGTTTATCAATAGAAATGATAAACCAGGTTCTTTTAATAGCTTGAAGCTACACTTTAAAAAATAGGTGTACAAATATAAAACTCACCTAACTGAAATACAAAACACAGAGAGCAAACTTCCACACCATTAAAATCATAGTGTTTCTTGCTGCAACTCATTTAATGATATGCATTCATTCAGAGCAGCTTGTGGGGAGTTAATGTTCAATTCCCAGCTGTCACATCAAGAAAAAACTGTATATCTGGAATCTAAAACACCAAAAGCAAAATAATAATCCAAAAGAGGGATGACAAAAACAAATAAGAAGACACCACACTTAGCAGCTTTGCATATAGAAAGTTTGCAGCTGTGTTCCTTGTACCTCCAGCTGAAACAACTGGAATAGGCTGATGATGTGAAAAACCTCAGCCTGAGACACTAGAGACTCTACAGAAAACACTAGCAATTTGACAAATAATCTGACAGTCTGCCATTAAAACAATTTCTTACACTTGGGACAAAAACGAGATCACAAAACAGGAAAATTTGTTATTTGGAGTGTGCAAAAGAGAAAAAGAAATCTGCTTTGAATTCTGTCTGTTCTCAGCCATTTTTCCTCTAATTATTAAATACTCTGGGAAAGCAGAAGGGAAGAGGACTAGAAGTGATAGGTCTAATCCCAGACAACTGGAATGGATAAACCCTGCTTGTACATTGTCTGCTGTCCATTAAAGCTCTGGGGCAAGACTTTTTCCTTTGTCTACCACCAATCGTGACTTGTGAGTAGTTGAGTTGGCAAACAACTCAACGGAGAGTTCCACATGGATTTTCATCTGATTAGTCAAATAAATGTATTTATTTTATTTATTTTATTTTATTTTATTTATTTGATCTGATTTCTACTCCGCCCATCTAGACCAAAGGTCTACTCTGGGTGGCATTACAAATTTAAAAACAGTTAAACCAATAAACATGCACTATAAATCCAAGATGGTAACATGTGAATTTAAGATGCATCAGGAGGGAAAGCCCGCCCGAATAGCCAGGTCTTGAGTTTGCAAATGAAAAAATAAATAAACTGAATAAAGTTGAATAAATGCAACTGAATTGAGAATAGGGAGCACTGATTAAGCAATGGAGATATAAGAATAACCTTACCAGACTTGGGAAGCTCATAAGTATAACATAAACCCAAAAACAATTCCTCTTGATTGCTCTCTTGCAATCAATGGAATGATACTTCTTGATCCTGGAGATAATATGTCACAACTGTGGCTACTAGTAGTCATTGACAGCCTTAGCCTTTGTGAATTTGTCTTAGGCTTCTATAGATCTATCTAAGCTACTGGCCACTATTCCCATCATGTGGCAGTAAATTTAACAGATTTATATGATATTGCACTCTCTGTGACTGCCTTGAAACTTTTGCCAATCAATTTCATTGGATTACTTCAGAATCGACTCATATGAAAGAGACAGAGAACATTCTCCTGTTTCTTTAAACCAGAGTGGGCATCCTGTTTTGCTACCGCAGACCTTTCTGTGCACCTCCGTTATTTGTATAAGCTGTGAACTAAAGTTTTCTCTTAATTCTGCATATATACTGAACAGACAGGAAAATAAAATACACCTTGTCTACACATTTGCCAAAAAGAAATCTTTCTGTTTCTCCATATAGTGTCCAAAAGAGGTGTCTTAGCTAAAGTATAGGTTACATATCAGGACCATCAAATTTTGTGACATGCTCAATTCTTTTAGAATATTTTATAGTTTCCCATAACCCACACTATCAAAAACTCTTTTGAGGTCTATAAGCACAGACTAATTTTGTTCTGAAATCATTTGGTACAACATGGAATGCAGGGAAATAATACAAGGACTAATAAGATGAGGACATGACATGGTTTTCAACAGTCAAACATGTAAAAGTGAGATTATTATATTAACAAAAAAATTACATTTCAAGGCAGTTTTCCAAACACAAAAGGGCTATGGAAAGCAGGTGAAGCATGCAAGTTGGGGGCTAAGAGAAGGAAGACACAAGGATGAAGCTCTGGAAGTTTCTCTGGGACCGTATGTGCAGGTGCAGAACCCAATTGTGTGAAACATAGAGACCATGATGAAGAACAATTGTCATCAGTATAATCCAGCTGGTCAAGTGACCCAAGACAGACAGCCTATTCCCTTATCCCAGATTGTTAAAAACAGACACAGAGAGATCTCCTGTGCTTTATGGGGAGAACCATAATTTGTGTATGGCAACCCCATTAGTATCAACTGGGCTATTTTAAGATCAAATATAATAAGGCCATAGGAGAAAAAATTGGTCACAAGCACTAAGCATTGCACCATTTACAACTGTAAAAATCATGTCTTACTGAGTACTTTACTTATACACTAAAACCATCATCAGGATCATATTTCATCACTCCATCAGTGCAGTGAAAGTGATGTCACTGGCAGCAGCTCATTGCCAACAATAAGAATTCTTGCATCAGTTCTGAGTTGTCCATGCATTTGTCTCATTCTGCATGAGTTGCCCACAACCCAGAATTGGGGGGAGGGAGGATCTTTCATTAGTGATCATCTGTCAGGGCATGTTCAGCTACTGCAGATTTTTCTGGTTGTTTAGTCTGCAGTGTCTCTCATGTTCTTTGATTCTGGTCTGGATGATTCGTTTTGTGGTTCCAATATATACCTGGCCACAACTGCAAGGTATCCGGTATACTCCTGCAGTGGTGAGGGGGTCCCTTCTGTCCTTTGCTTACCATAACATTTGTTGTATTTTTTGTGGTGGGCTTGAATACTGTTTGTAGGTTGTGTTTTTTCAAAAGTTTCCCCATGCGGTCCATGACCCCTTTGATGTATGGCAGAAATACTTTATTTGTGGGTGGCTGTTTTTCTTCTTCAGTTCGGTGTTGTTTGCTAGGTTTGATTGAGTTGAATCATCTGAACTGGGCCCTACAGGCAAATGGCTACTCCAAAAATGAAATCACAAGAGCCATCAAACCAGCAAGGGACAGAAAAATCAGCAGTAGCTGAACATGCCCTGAAACAAAACAAACTGGACATGAAATTCTATTTCAAAATACTGAAATACTGGACCACACGAGCAATCATTACGTCAGACTGCACAGGGAAGCCATTGAAATCCACAAGCACAAGCACAGTTTCAACAAAAAAGAGGAAAGTATGAAGCTCAACAAAACTTGGCTCCCAGCTATCAAACATACTACGTGCAAAAGGTCAACGAACTCTACCCACCCAACAAGGACAGGGGATCACTACACACAAAAGACCAGCTAATGACACCCATCAACCACAGGAACAGATAATCTCTTCCCCTTAGCACAACAATACACCCATAACAATACACACTAATCACCCATCTACAGGAAAAGACAAAAGCCTATCTCACAGCCATAAATACTGCACTCCCAAGCCAACTACACCAGAGTACAGGTTGCTGTCCTCTGAAGATGTCGGCCACAGAGACTGGTGAAACGTCAGGAGGAACAACCTTCAGAACACAGCCAAAGAGCCCGAAAAACCCAGAACAATCATTAGATCCCGCCCGTGAAAGCCTTCGTGAATATACTTCCTCCCTCTGTCTCATGGGTGCTACGCAATGGATTATTCACAACCTGGGCAATCTAAGTGACTGAAAATTATCAAAACCAACCAACCAACCAACCCCTCCTCCTGCTGGTGACATCATCATCCCTCCATATAGTCAATCTACCCAAAGATAATCTGATTATGTGTGTTGCCCTAACCCTTGAGCACTAAGTTGCACAACTTGGTACGCAACTTGATATAGCAAGTTCTTAAGTTGGGACAACTCTTCTCTAAGATTTTTGTTATGCCAGTCTAACTAGGAAAGACAACTTTGATGATAACAATTTAAAACACATTAAATTTTTGAAAAAATCCTTAAATTTAATAAATGAAGCATTCCGAAAATCCGCATTTATCAATTAAAAGCCTGCTTGAACAGCAAGGTTTTTGCCTGCCAACAGAAGGACAAGAGGGTGGAGGCCAACTCAACTTCTTTATTACGATTTTTCATTAGTGCTGGAGAGCTGTCAAGTATAATAATCTTCAATTCAGCATTCATACATAAAAGAACAGCCAGTGTTTCCAAAACCCATGACTTAAGAAAAAAAAATTAATTGCAACATTTAGTCCTCCAGATGTCTGAGACATACAATCCTAACCAGCCCTAGGTAGTGTAGCTAAGGATGATTATGGAAATTGTTCCCTTAAAACACCAAGGGAGGACCACATTTATCCATTCCTAGATTATGGGGTACAAGTGAAAAATGAAAAAGAAGCATAGGGTGAGATAAATACTTTGATTTTTTAAATACATCTAACTACTACAAGTATTACCTGCATGAGATTGAGAATTAGAGGGGGAATAATAGCCAGTTCAAGAGCAGATAGTCTCAGATCTTGTTTCAAACCTCTCTATCACCTGATTCTTGTACAGCAGAGGTGGGCAAGCTTTGGCACTCCAAATATTTTGAATCACACCTCTCATAAACTCTTATTCCTGGCCATACTGTCTGGGGCTGATGAGGGTTGTAGTCAAAACCATCTGTAGAAGCAGTTTCCCTGCTTCCTCTGTAAAGGAAAATCTTTCCAGCCACAGTTCCACAGCAAAACGTAAACTGTTTAGCGGATTATTAACTTTCGACGTTGATTTACTTGCAGTTTAGCAAAGAGACAATGCTTAGCAAACAGACAGATCTATTCCAATCAAAAGGAGAAACAAACAATTATATCATTGACAGAATCCTAGCATTCAAGTTTTCAGGTTAAAAAAATGGATAGAGTTTGTGTCTGTATGTCCTTATTCCATTATTTTTGGAATTCAGTGTGGAATCAGTGGTTCATATGTAAATGGGGAACAGAACATAAGAATAAGCTTAAATTTAAATATTCTGCTTGACTTCTAGCTTTCTAGAAATATTACAGAAAGGCAGGCAGTGCAGCATGGCCTCTACCAATTTGAAGAGACACTTGTCCAGCAGGCGGAGGCAAAGAGGCAGTCCTGAAACCAGCAAAATCAGGGAGCTGGACAGGGGACAGGTTGCATTTGTCTTCAGTGTGGGATTCTCACTCTCATATTGACCTTCTCAGCCACACTGGATAATGTTCCAAGTCCTCTATTCAGAGCATGTTACCATAGTCTCTTGAGACTTAAGGATCCCTACAAGATCTTGTAAAAACCATTCAAGACAAAGAGGTGCTTTGATTGCACGTGACTGAATGCCACAACAGAAGCATCTTTTTTAAAGACACTGTACTCTCTTGTATTTAAACCCAGTAGTACCAGTCCTGCATAGTTGCTGGAAAATTTGGCAAGATTAATATACAGCAACACAGGGCTTCACCAAATGATCAGAGGATACAAGTATCGTGTCATTCATTTACCAGTAGGAGGTGTCTGGGCAATACTCTAAACCAGCTAGCTCCTTCGAGCCACCCAACATTGCCCAATCAGCATAAAAGGACTATATATTTTTAGAAGCTGGATGACAGCCAATTGGGTACGGGGGGGCGGGGAATGGATCTTACCATTTCTTCAGAAGTGAGTTTCAACAGATTACATAACAACCCAACCTGTTTCACTTTTTCGGCCTTTTAACTTCTACCCTCAAAAACATAAAGTGCTGTCTGGACTTCTACAGAAACGATACTCTTGCTGCGTTTTTCTCATAATATTTAACCTCACAATATTCATATGCAGGATTCCAATACCATTTGGCTACTATTACAACAGAATGTGGTTTGTGATGTCACAGCAAGCTCTTCAAAGGCAAGATAAGTTTTCCAGACAGTAGTTGTACTTCAATGGCTTAACTATGCTGAAGGCATGTGAGATCATCTTTTTTTACATTAGCTCACAGACAAAGATGGGATAGAACAGAAAGTCCAGCTTCATGACAGGGCTGAAGAAACTACTTTAAACATGCATCAAATGTTTGCAGGTTTAAACAGACCGACTTAACAGGCAGGCAGGCAGGCACACCCACCCACCCCACACGTACACACAAATTCCAATGGGATACATTGATGCTGTTACTAAATGGCTATGATTTCAACATACTTTGGAAAGAACCTTGCAGTGATCAGCCAAGACTTTGACCTATGATGGTTCTAAGAATTTGCCAGGGTGGGGGGATGTAATGTATAATGAGAGAAAGCCACGAAAAATGCTGAGTGAATGGGTTGTAGTTTGAAATGTCTTCATAAAGGTTCTGCAAACAGCAGTTATAAGCAGGACTTGAAATAATTCCAGACTAATTATTGTTAATTCTTCTTATACAACAGTGGCAATCAGAGTAGATTGCAGGCATACAGTCAAAAACCTAATAGATTATGTCAACAAGATGTAATTTCACAGTTCTCCCCTCTACCCACTCTCTCTCCTTTCCCTGTGTGACTCCCCCCTCAAGTCTTCTGTGCATGTTATTCCTCTCAGGTGCTTCCCTGAAATCTCAACCTTTGCTTTCTAATCCACACATCTACATCACTGCTTTCAACCGACTGCCTTTCAAGACTCCAGTTGCTGCCTCCTTAAGCTCATGCTCCATTTACTTTTTTTCCTTAGACCTTCCTGCTGGTTTCAGACATCAAAGTGGTTTAGCCAATTTTTATTTTATTTATTTATTTGATTTGTATCCCACCCATCTGGTCTATACGACCACTCTAGATGGTGGTATAATATCATAGACACAAGTAGTAACTACTAACACAGACTATGAAAAGATCCAGTCTCATCCAACCACTAGGTATACTGACCTGTTTGATTTTTAGTGTACAGTACTTTCTACCCTAGCAGGACAACTAAACTCAACTTCTTGCTTGGGTGACATAGAGTCTGTTGTGTTGTGCCCCTTGCTGTCATCCGAAGCTTAATAGAGAGTGTGGTGTTCATTCTTTATTAACCTATTCCTTGTGCTATGTCATGGAAGCATCATGTAATGGCTCACTGACACCCGTGGCCTGTTTAACATCACACAACTAATATGACATCACTTCAGTCAGCACGAGTTACTGCTAGAAAAGAGAGAGATAAAGTTATGCAATGCTGTTCCAAGGGGCTAATAAATAAGGTAGCAAACATGCTATTGGCCCCGTCTTAGAAAATGAATTACATAACTTCAAAGCTTAGCAGATCTATGCTCCACAAAACAGGAGACCAGGATATTTTTATTCAGCCTTTTTCAACACTTTGTGACACTGAATGAAGGAGGAATGATTCTCTAAAAATTACAACCAGAACAGATGAATTTAAATTACTATTCAAGTGACCCTTGAATGTAGCTCACCTTCTACACAGAACAGGGTTTTAACTGCCATATTTTTCAAAAGCATTATTTTGCAAAGCTAATAATATGATTTGGTTATCTTACACTATTGTTGTTTCCTTCAAATTACAAGCAGAATAATAAAGAAACAGAGAAGATATGCAAAAAAGGGGGGGGGACTGGCTTTGCTCTTAGCTCTTACTCACTGACCTTAATGGATAATAAGAGTGAAAAATAAAATGAGGGATGGGCATATCCCCTTCTTTCTCTGAGCATTCACACATTTACCTTTTACGAATAAAACCCAACCAAAATCAGTTTAAAATAATTTAAACCACATAAAATAAAAATCAAACTGATACAGAGTCAATAAAAAGACTAAAGATATTCACCACACAGTGACCTCACTAAAACACCTTTGTCCTTTTTTAGGTTCTCAAATCGAGAAACTTGTTGAAGGAAAAGGCAACCTCTACCTGTTCCCAAAGGGATATGGAAGGGGGTTGTTAGAACAGTATTCTCAAGCACATACCACACAGTTTCTGGGCAGAGATACATAGAAAAATCTGTATTTTTAACATTTCAGTGTTTGGTATCTTTAGCACTGATAATCTTAGAACAGCAAGGGAATACCTCCTTTGGAACTATTTTCTGTGAGCTATATTGACATGACTTGTGGACTGAAGGGAGCTCATCTACCTTGCTGAGCCTTATTCTTTAAACATCACTTCAGTTTGTGCATAACTGATCATTTAACATTTAGACTGAGCAATTGTTCCCGTGTTACTGAATGACCGAATATTCTGCAAAATCTTATTAGGCTGTCTTGCTCAAACAGGCAATTTTATTAAGGATACAAGAATGATAACAGTTACAACTCCAACTTATTTTTCTGATCAGCTTTTAGAGCAGACCTATATCAAAATATTAAAAGATACATTTTATGTGAAATTGGAGCATATTTAAAAGCTGTACAGTATTTTAAAGACAATGCTACTGTGACACAAGAGAAACATGGGTGGAAATGCATCCCAATGCCCAGCTATATTCTTAGCTGATTGCTTGATCAACAGATTTGAGGTATGTTTGCAGTAAAATACACAAGGTAAAACACCTTCTGTTCAACTTACACACTTACCCTTCTAAGTGCCCTGCATTTGCAATCTTAGCAAGCACTGATTCAGAAACACACACTTGCAGAGATCATGCACAGTTCCATTTTTGAATACTATACAGTATAGCTTATGAACACCTTGTTTCTTAGCTTAAAAGGAGGCCATCTGAATAGTTAGGGGAAGAACAATCAATCCACATATAAATCTACAAAGTGTACCACATTCTTTCTGTCTTCAAATTTGCATATCCTTTGTTCTCATCAGTGGGAAATTCAATCACTTTGTTTTCCTTTTAACCTTTATTCCTCCTAATGTAGCCAAAAACTTGACCTGCATTTAATCTTCAAACTTCAGACTGAAACTATTTTGTCTGGCAAAGTAGTGGAAATTTTCTCCTTCTTCAGAGACACGAATGCCTGCTTAAGAAAAAAAAGGCATCAAGAAAATGATATAATTTTCCAATTTATTGTAGCAATATGCAAATAAAAAAGCTGAAGATTTGTGGTAAATGTAAGAGGAACCCTATTTCAAATATTTTATCTTGAGGGAGATCATTTTTCTTTTGAAATCTATATTTTACATTTTCACAAATCTGTTATTTTAAAAGAGGGAGAGGAGAAAAATAATATAGATATTCTGTGTTTAAAAAAGAAGGCAAAACAGTTGATGTTCATTCCATAAGTCTATCAGTTCCTGGAGATTTATGCGGGGAGTTTGCATCCAATATTGTAATTAGATAAGAACTTCATAATTTTCACTGTCAAATTTTTTTTTACAACAACTAATATTGTACCATTAAAAACTTAAGAAAACTGGGTAGAATGGCTGAGGAAGTGGATCTGTCCATGAAAGCTCGCTTTAAAAATAGCAGTTAGTCTTTAAGGGGCTGCAAGGTTTCTCGTCTTTATTATTATTTTTTTTTTTTACTTTTGATATGGTTAGAAGAGACTGGCTGTTATACAGCAAGTATGTGTTGACTTGAACCCTTGAAATTCACTTGAAATGACTGGCATTTCTGTTCAAAGTAGCATAATGCATTACATATTTGTATGAATGTGTGTGTGTGTTACGAGGAATTTTCTCTCAGGAAAAAGAATTCAATAAGCTTCAACCCCCACCCCCATACCCTGTTAATGTTCACTCTAGGCTAACTTACCACCAAATCACTTCTGCAAGTAATGCAATCAAGTACTGGGCCACGTATGGTCATCCTTACATGTCATAATCATAGTTCATAACAGTATGCACACATTAAAAAAACAGATGGACTTCTTGAAATCTCGCTAACAATATATCCCTTCCGAGTTATGACTCTCCAAGTACTCTCTGTCATATGAGCCTCCAATGACAATGAACATCAATTAATTTAAGGGACTTTGATCCAAAAAGTAACATTCAAAGTTAGAGTAGTTGCTTGCAACAAGTAGCAGGGTTCATTGGACAGAAAACAGACCAACAGGCTCCTTCCAATCTTGTATCTCAGCCTGCTCTTACTGATTCAGCAATGACTTACTTGTTAGTTTCCTATCAATATATCATCAATTCTCATTCAATGGTTCTGCTTCAGTGGTATGCATGTTATACTGTATAGTATTTTAGTGACTACCATTTAATTTCTTTCTTTTGCAAATCTAGTTAGTAATTAAACTGAAAGGCAGGGCTTAAATAATAAAACAGCTTCAAAAGTGTTCCAGAGTAAGAGGGAAGCCTTCAACTTTGGCCAAAGATCTGCTGCTCAAACAGTGCTTCCAGATTAATAGTTCCTAGAACTGACCATTAGAAGACAATGCTCAAATTACACTGACAACATTAAAACCACTGACAGGTGAAGACAAATTACACTGACAACATTAAAACCACTGACAGGTGAAGAGAATAGCATTTATTATGTCATTACAATGGCACCTGTCAAGGGATAGGATATATTAAACAGCAAATTCAGTTCAATAAATATGTCATCTGAAAATCTTTCTAGTTTTTAATAACAAGTGTTACCCTGTTTTCCTGAAAATAAGACCTAACCTGAAAGTACGCCCTTGTATGATTTTTCAAGATGCTCATAATATAAGCCCTACCCCAAAAATTAGCCCTAGTTAAGTGAAACCCTGCCCTCTACCATTGTGCAGCATGCAGAAGATGACATGACTGTATTTGAATAAATGTAGATTGTTGTACATGAAAAAAAATAAAACATCACCTGACAATAACCACAAAATGTGTTTTTGGAGCAAAAATTAATATAAGACCCTGTCTTATTTTCAGGGAAACATGTTATATCTGTATTTGTTACCCAGACTATGCAAGACTTC